TAGACTGACACTCTGAGCCTTCCATCTTTAGCTCCTGTATCACTGCACAGCTTTAGGCTAGACTGAGTAAGGCGAGATTGAGTCTTTGCCAGGCATTAGCTGATGGATGAATGGCACTCAACCTAAAAAAAAAAAAAATAAATAAATTTAAAGTTTTTTTTGTTTTTGTTTTTTTAGCACTGCTGGGTGAAAAATAATAGTTTTTTTCTGCATGCCCTGCTCTTATCATTGCAGGATATACTTCACCACAAACTTTAACTGTCTGTAATCCTGAAAAAGGAGCAAACTGGGTAAAGTATGACTCATTGTCACCTGCTTGTCCCAGAAGAGTCACTTTCTGGCCATTGCATGAAAACTACTTCAAACTTGACCTCAGCAGTGTTTTCTGACTTTAAGCTTCATTGGCCATTAAGCGACTGATGTAACTGTGGAGCGTTGCTTACCCGATCACACTCTCACTCCTCCTGCTGCCCCTTTATTCCACATTAGACGTGTGATCCTCAGGTGTCACAACAGGTGTTGATTGTATCTCCAGTGTTTGATCCTTCCAGGAATTTCCTCTCCTCTGCCACACGGTGGAGTCAGTGTAATGTAACACAAGGACCTGTGGAGACAAGCAACCCCAGTCATCTCATAAAATATTCAGGAATCAATTATAAGTGATTAAATATTAGACAGTCTGAACTGATACAAAGTCACATTGATGCTGGTAATGTCGTTTTTATTGAAACAATTTTCTACAAGATATGACATTCAATGTCTTTGTGTTTATAACTTTTACCTGTTAGAAGTTCACAATTATTTCTGCTGTTCCCTCCTTTCTCTTAGTTGCAGTAGTAGTATAACATTTGCAGTAAAAATGTTGATGCCTATAGCTCACATATGCTGGTCCAAGTCAGTTGATGAGTTTGTAGCCTTGTAGGTTTTTGTTGTGGTTTCTTTTAACTCTAAGCAAATTTCTGCAGAGCCGAAATTCATGACTGCAAACCATGGGAGGATGTTCAGTCTGCCTACATATGTCTAGGTTGGGAGCAACAACAAAAGGAAACAGGAAGAAGGTGCCATGTTCTGGCCTAATGAAAACTGAGAATTTACATTCATTTGACAACTATTGCTAGCCTGCACTGACTGTTTGTGTATTCTGCACATGGTACCACTGCTGCATCCCAGAATGCAAAGCATATGGGATGACTGGGGGAAGGTAAAAATCTCAGATTTGCAAATTATATGGTAGCTGGATTGGATTGAGGTCGGATCATGTTCTCACCATAAACAAACTGCTCTGGAGATTGTTTGGAGCTGAACAGAGACCCCTATTTCCAGAGGCTCTTGTTACAGTTGTTTTATTCTTCACTCTAGTCAGATTGCTAAAACTAATCAAAAAATTAAACTGACTTAAAAACTGCAGTTGAGAACACCCTACAAAGCTTTTGCGCTCTTCACTATATTAGAATTGCTACAAACTTTCTGCAGAATCATAAATAAGATTAAACAACCCTGCAAACTATTGATAATTTGGCTTTAATGACTTTTTAGTCCTTCCATCTGGTAAATCATTAACAGTCCCACACCATCAAGCACCGTCTGGTAACAAATGGTCGCTATAGGAAAAGTGCCCTGACTGATTCTGAAGTGGTGACTAGAGGTTGCTTTCTCGAGGTTTATGAAATTGGTCATAGAAAATGTTTATGGTTCAGCAAGCAGATTGCTTTGGGCACTCATAGTTTGCATGAAAGATGCCGACTTGTCTGCAAACACTTGCTCACTACTCACACTCAAAGAAATGCAACACCTGAAAAGAAGAAAAGAAAGAAAAAGCACTTTTTAAAACATGTTGATTGTAGATTGATTTTTTTTTTCAGATCAGCTCACCACAACTTGCCATGACTCGACTCGGATCAGTTGGTTTTCCATTACAATTAAGTACCACATAATGTGCATGGTGGTCGCTATAACAAAGGTGGACGTTGAGGCAATGATATATCTGCTGCACTGGATTATAAGGCGTACTGTCAATTTTTGAGAAAATAAAAAGGATTTTAAGTGCGCCTTATAGTCTGAAAAATATGGTGCCTCATTCCCGGGTTTCAAAAATGCCAATTCTGATTTTCGCTCTCATGACTCATCAAGTGACACCACTGACCAGTCAATCAGCGGCATGCAGTCTGATGACTTCACATTTTACTACTTGATCAGATCGCTTGCAACCCCTGCTGAGCAGGTACTATTTCAGTACTGGTGTTGGCCAGAGGGGCCGATGGTGCGATATGGCAGCCTCGCTTCTGTCAGTCTGCCCCAGGGCAGCTGTGGCTACAACTGTAGCTTGCCTCCACCAGTGTGTGAATGTGAGAGTGAATGAATAGTGGCATTGTAAAGCGCTTTGGGTGCCTTGAAAAGCGCTATATAAATCCAATCCATTATTATTATTATTATTATTTGAGTTGTCACCTCCTACTAGGCCATTGCTGTGTGTAATACAATTCCTGAAAATCATGGCTAGTTGAACCGAGTAGGTAGTAATGGAAAAGGGGCTAATTACTTCATTTCCATGAATTCCATACTACATGGCGCCCCTTGTGGCAGATCTGTTTGCAACGCGCTCTGAGTTCTACGCTCGCTTCGACACCCTCAACATCAACTATCACAGAGGGATTCTACCAGTGGAGGCAGCACAGAGCTCTTCACTCACTGACATCGACTGAGTTTTATACAAGGTTCTGAGGAGGACTAACCCCTGAAAAGCAGCCAGCCCTGACAATGTCCCCGGCTGTGCTTTGAGGGTCTGCTCTTCAGAGCTGTGGTGTTTACAGACATTATCAATTTGTCCCTCACCCAGTCAGCTGTGCTCACATGCTTCAAGTCCACCACCATAGTGCCCCTCCCCAAGAAAAAAAACCATAACCTGTTTGAATGACTATTGCCCCATCACACTCACTTCAATTGTAATCTGTTAATCAGGGGTCCTCAATTCCAGACCTCGAGGGCCGGTGTGCTGCAGTTTTTAGATGTGTCCGTGATCCAACACAGCTGATTCAAATTGCTAAATTACCTCCTCAACATGTCTTGCCGTTCTCCAGAGGCAAGAGACCCAGGGTGAGATCTAAAACCTGCAGGACACCGGCCCTCGAGGCCTGGAGTTGGGGACCCCTGCTGTTAATGTTGCCATCCACACAGCCCTGTCACACCTCGAAAATAAGGATACCTGTGTTCGAATGCAGTTTATAGACTACAGTTCAGCATTCAACACCATCATCCCAAACAGACTGGTGGGGAAGCTGTCTACTCTTGGACTAACACTACCCCCCCTCTGTTGCTGGGTCCTGGACTTCCTCAAAGGCAGACCTCAGTCAGTCCACTCCTGTACACCCTCTTCACCTATGACTACGTCCACTCCAAGAGCAAGACCTCCTCCATTAAGTTTGCTGATGACACAACCATCGTCAGGCTGATCACTGGTGAAGAGGAGACTACTTACAGGGAAGAGGTGGCCTAGCTGGTGTCCTGGTGCCTGGAAAA